ACTGAACTACATGATACGAAAAAGGTGCTGTTGATGCCAATGTTTCTGACATATCACTAGAAGACATTAAACAAGCATTTTCATAAGCTTCAATGCTCCAAAACGTTGTGGTTTTTCTTTCAACTAATCTGTGCTATAACAGCAAGACAGGAAAGATCACTCTAAGTATCTGACAGTTATATTTGCTGAAAACCTTAGTCAAGACAGAGTGAAGCCCACCTAACCTTTTTAGGGCCAACTAAGATCAAAATTCCTTGCTAAAAAATACATCACAACTTAACAAATTTTGGAAAAATAGTGCTCTTACGACTCACAAAAGTTTTTTAACAATGTCTAGAACTGCAAAAGGGTGATTTTAGGCGTCAAGAAAGTGACTTAAAGTATTAAATAAGATTAGTACAGCAGTGTCAAAATCCATAAGAAATGAATTATTAAAAGATAGATTAGCTTGTTATTATAATCCTTGCATGAATTACTGCAATCCTCTAGCAATTTAAATTAGTAAAATTACATGTATTGGAATTCATGGTAGGGTTATAAATAGAGAGGTGTGGACCTTATTGCTTTCATAGTAAAGTTTTTTGACTGCAAAGAAAAATATCATATTTTATGATTTACATCAGTTTTGAATCCTCATAGCATACAGGAATAACACTTTTCATATGTTATAACGTTAACAAAGTATAAATTAATTCCTTTTTCGTGTAGGGCATCAAGAACGCACTGTATTTTTCAATATCGTTACATTTTTTGTTTACTTCTTTACAGGGTATTATTAAACCTAAACTGCATACATTCCAAGAGTAGATTCCTAAAAGTAGAAGTTTCTTATACCCAAGAAGGTCAACAATATTAGTTAACTTTGAATCAAAAATATTTTACATTACGCGATAAAAAACTCAGGGGCTTTACTCCAAGAATCTTGGGCATAGCAAAGACGAGGAAGGCACTCACCAGAACTTATGTGACATGATTTTTCTTTTTATATCACGGAAGACAATGTCTGAGCTAAGGAATCATAAAGTATTTATTGCGCAAGCTAATTGACACATGATCACATATTCTGTTAACACACTAGTCAGTTGATATTGTTTAATAAAAATTCCAACAATATTTTCTAAGACGTACAATGGTGGATCACAGTATAACCGCCAAGACTATTTATTAGCAACCTTTAAAAAATGGGAAATAATATTAAACGTATAAAAAATTATATATATTGATTGACCTGTGTGTGTTTACATTTTGAACCTTAATTTTAATCAGCCCGTGATAGTACCTATGTATTGTAAGGCTGCGTATACACGTAGTGTTAAACCTTACTGGAATACGTATAAGCTCACGTAAGTGCAAATGAAAAAAAAACACTCTTGATTCTGTTTTCCGGTTCTTCACTAACAGAAGCTGATGGCTCGAAATTCGAATGTAAAATTAATTTTTTTCATATTTTAAAGGTTCATGGATTATCCCCAAACATTTGTGTTAAGCTATTTCGTTTAGAATCTTAATTTATGGTTTTTGAATAAATATTTCATTTATATTCGTTTTAAGCTATTTTCACATTGGACATTCAAATATTAGGACAAAGAGTTTTACATTTACATATTTTATTTTTAATACTTTTTTTTATTGACATCGAAAAATTTTATGTTTTACATGATTTCTTACCTTGACAACGTAAGTTTCAAATTGGTTATCAAAAATAATATTTTTTTTAACCAAAAAAAAAAATAAATTGACGATAATTGAGCGAAAATAATATTAAGCTCGATAAGATAATAAAAGAAGAAAAGCGCTTAAAAAAAATATTGAATTAAAATCATTGATGTCTAAAGAACAATTATTAAAAATAAAACAAGAAAAAACTAGTAATAGATAGCAACCTTGTCATTGACAAATGCTTCAATGGACTCCTGTGGAAATAAAAGAGATGAAAAAAGAAAAAGCTTAACAGAGATAGCAATATAGAGCTCGTTTAAAAGCGTAAGTACCGTTAACACAGTATTTTTTTCACAATCTGTAACGTATTTTGATTGAACTTGACTCTTGGACAAGAAAGCATACATGACTTTTGTCCCTTACTTGCTTATTTATCCATTATCTTTATCATCTACAAAGCAGTCTTAATATTATTTTATAAGTACAAATATTTCATAACTTTCACATTTGTAATAAACTCTTATTTGTGTACATTAAAATAAAAGTAACGAATACAAGACCTTGAAATTTCACTCCATAACTAAAAATTATTTCCCTAACACTATAACTACGACAGCATGACTTAATAAAAAAAAATTAAATAAATGGAAGTATTCTACTTATAACACTTCGTTTTAATACATACTATTCAAATCATACAATTTATGAAATGTGTAACTAAAACTAGATAATTTTTAAAACACCAAGTTTAATAATTCACTACTTAAAAGCTTTAATTGTGCCAGGGGCCCTAAGACCCACACCAGGCTCTTTTTTTACAAATATTACTGAAAAATGTTTAAAAGCAAGTTTTGATTATGATTTATCCATTATATCCAGTTAGTTATTCACTGTCACTAGTGCAGTTTTTTACTACAAGATTGGGTACCCCAGTCATCAACGACCCTGATTTATCCTCTTGACTCTTGGCTTTTAAACCAGGTACTGCTCATCCTTTCCAAGGTATGCATTTGCCAAATCTAATAGTAAAGCTATAAAGGAGAAGCACAGTTTAACTAACAAAACAATCTTTAACAGGCAAGTGACACGAAAAAATCTCCACCTTGGATTTCCATTATGACTGAACTACATGATACGAAAAAGGTGCTGTTGATGCCAATGTTTCTGACATATCACTAGAAGACATTAAACAAGCATTTTCATAAGCTTCAATGCTCCAAAACGTTGTGGTTTTTCTTTCAACTAATCTGTGCTATAACAGCAAGACAGGAAAGATCACTCTAAGTATCTGACAGTTATATTTGCTGAAAACCTTAGTCAAGACAGAGTGAAGCCCACCTAACCTTTTTAGGGCCAACTAAGATCAAAATTCCTTGCTAAAAAATACATCACAACTTAACAAATTTTGGAAAAATAGTGCTCTTACGACTCACAAAAGTTTTTTAACAATGTCTAGAACTGCAAAAGGGTGATTTTAGGCGTCAAGAAAGTGACTTAAAGTATTAAATAAGATTAGTACAGCAGTGTCAAAATCCATAAGAAATGAATTATTAAAAGATAGATTAGCTTGTTATTATAATCCTTGCATGAATTACTGCAATCCTCTAGCAATTTAAATTAGTAAAATTACATGTATTGGAATTCATGGTAGGGTTATAAATAGAGAGGTGAGGACCTTATTGCTTTCATAGTAAAGTTTTTTGACTGCAAAGAAAAATATCATATTTTATGATTTACATCAGTTTTGAATCCTCATAGCATACAGGAATAACACTTTTCATATGTTATAACGTTAACAAAGTATAAATTAATTCCTTTTTCGTGTAGGGCATCAAGAACGCACTGTATTTTTCAATATCGTTACATTTTTTGTTTACTTCTTTACAGGGTATTATTAAACCTAAACTGCATACATTCCAAGAGTAGATTCCTAAAAGTAGAAGTTTCTTATACCCAAGAAGGTCAACAATATTAGTTAACTTTGAATCAAAAATATTTTACATTACGCGATAAAAAACTCAGGGGCTTTACTCCAAGAATCTTGGGCATAGCAAAGACGAGGAAGGCACTCACCAGAACTTATGTGACATGATTTTTCTTTTTATATCACGGAAGACAATGTCTGAGCTAAGGAATCATAAAGTATTTATTGCGCAAGCTAATTGACACATGATCACATATTCTGTTAACACACTAGTCAGTTGATATTGTTTAATAAAAATTCCAACAATATTTTCTAAGACGTACAATGGTGGATCACAGTATAACCGCCAAGACTATTTATTAGCAACCTTTAAAAAATGGGATATAAAGAGATAATAAGAAAACAAATAAGCAACTCAAATAACTATACTATATAGTGAAAGATATTGCAACTAGACGTACAATCTAAAATCAGAAACTTTTTGCGTTATTCATCTAATTTCTCCAAATAGTCGCATTTGTTTAAAAAGAATACAAATTTACGAATCTATTTTTTTATAAATATTCAAATATATATTAAAACATTAGTGTACCTATTGTTTTCATTGAAACTTCCTATACTTTACTTTAATCGAATTTTAGTATATAAAGTAAGGGCTTCCATAAGTCCTACGTGTGAGAGAACATTTTTTCATTATAATTAATAATGATGTTATTCAATGGCTAGCATCAAAGAATTGTAAAAAACAATATAAGCTCAGGCAAACGATTAAGTACAACTAAAACAGTTTTAAGAGTTTAGTAACCACCTTTAGTTATCGATCTGATCGATCTGACACTCTGCCACGAGATGACTGGTGAGCCCTTAGCGCAACATTGACACACAATATACCTCGTAAAAAAAGTTATTGCCAATGTTTAATCGTTTTAAAATACTTTCATATATTCAATAAATGTAGATATCTTAAAAATACAATTCGAATTTGTTACCATAGGGATAAAGATTTAATTGTTCTTGTGAAATTCATATCCTTTTATATACGTCTTGTGTAGTTTTATCAGCATTGTTTTATGAGTTAACAGAGTTAACTTCTAGTAATTGTCTCTCTATCCTGTTTCATGCCTAGTAATAGTACCTCTTACAAGTTTTACTCAAGCATCATAAACTAGTCATATCACGCTCAGTATTATCAATTAGTTTCCCTATTTTTGATTTGATTTGCATACGCTTTTCCTCTGGTTAATTAAGAAAATTTATTTTGAAAGGTTTACTGCTATTTATTAGAATTAACAAGTATAACTAAAAATATTCGCTTTGAGTCTTTCTATCACATAACTCTAAAATTATTTTTATCAATTTTTTTGTTTACTCAGGCAACAAATAATATTGTTTGAACAACTTTAAACTCGATACTTACTTTGCAAACAATCAGCATTGAGAAGGTCTTTACATTTTTCATGACATTTTACTCCACATTCAACACATCTAACGCCTTGACGGGCAATACCCCACAAAAGTCCTTCGCATTCATAACAATATGTAGGAGATGTTGCAGTCCACGTGATGAAATTGTGCGGCGTTGTTGAAGAAATAGGATATATCATAGCTTGTAAGGTCTTCTTGTAAACATGCATTTTCTGAAAAAAAGAATTTCATTATCACCATAAACTTGAATTACAACTAAACGAATCTAAAGATAATATAAAGCATTGTTTGGCAGAAAAAATGTAAAATTTGATAACTTGTACATTATTAGATTAACTGTTTAAGCTCAGCGAGGTACCAAAAGGTTGCAAACAAATTTGTAATAATTTCAAAATTGGTATTATCTATGAAACATATGATTACAGCAGCTTAGTGGGGCTCGAATACGTTCGTAATATGTATAACTTAATTCGTTAATGATTTTGGATAGGTCTAGTTCTACACTTAGCTTTATTTAGAATTAACTCTCAACAAATACAAATTCAAGTCAGTTGCAAGAATATATCTTCAACGTTAAATAAAAAGTGCTGCTATATACAACTGATTTAAACAAGCATACCCATCAACGATTTTGAATTTTCAACGGCAGCCTTTATAGTATTTTTATCTTTTAAGGAATAATTAAGGATTTAAATGTAAAACATTCAAGAATCTCTAATAACACAAAAAATTAATTAAAAAGAAAATCTTTGTGGAAAAAGAGGTACTGTTAATTATAATGATGGTGCTTTAGTTCTTTTATAAATGTGTAATTCTAATAAAAAAAGGTTCAGTTCACAAAATATGTCTTAAAACATTAACATATAATTAAGAAGTTAAAAAATAAACTTTGAAAAATGGGCAATAACATCAGGGATTAAATAATAACATTTACATAACTACACAAATTACATTATACGTAATCCCTGGATGTTGTTTTGTAACTTACATTCTCAGATATGCAAGTATTGTAAGGAAGAAAACACGCCTATAAGGGCACTTTGATCTCCACATCTAAGATCTTCATTTACAAATTGAAAAGTGATAAAAAATGAACATACATTAAGTAAAAATTAATTACGCAAGTTAACGCTTTTTTTCTTCTAGTTTTTGATGTTTCAGTTCACTAAAAATAATTAAACTATAAGAAGACACTACCACAGCATCAGAAAATATGAGGTCAAAGATATTTTAACTTTTTTTTCCAGTATACATCTCACATATAATTAATGCAAAGTTATGAGAAATATTGAAATCGCTAGCCTGAAAAACTACTTAACTAATTTGGATTAAATTTTGAATACTGATTCGTGACACACCCTAGATAGTTTTTAAATTACGTTTCTTTTGAAAAAATTAAAAGCAATAGCAACGAAGAGGCCTTAGGATTGCAAAAACATGCTAACCTAATGTTTTGGGCCGTAACAAAAAATGAAGCCTCCTGCCATCAAAGTCAGTGAGTCTGGTTATAATATTCTCAAGGTAGGTGTTGATTACCGTAACTGTTCACTGGTAGTAGGTCAAGAACAGAACTGTTAGTCATATAGTTAAATATCCTGGCCAACAGCGACTCTCAACAGTCTGCAATGAGCAAGTGACCCATGCTGATTTTTACCGTGCATTCCGAAGATGACCAAGTGCCATGGAAAAAAGGCATTCTGAACAGCAATGTACCTGGCAGAAGACATGGTACAAAGTTTGGCAAAAGTTAAATTAGCTACAACGCTTGTGAGCCTTATACCCTCTTTTTTAACCAACCTGGTACTGCTGGCACTAGTTAGAGAAACAACCTTCAGTGGCTTGGACAGCTATATCTGCTAGAAATATCATCTGACTCTGACTAAAAGTATGATAACTTGCCCTTAAACGTTTAAGTTGACTAAATAATCACTTAATTTATCAGTTTTCCATAGGGCAATCTTATGTTTAAATTGCTTGGTCACGAATATTTTTATGCCAACTATTTCTAAAAAATGTTTTAAAGTAAATTTTAATAACGATACAGTTCCTTTTAAGATAAGTCGATTATCATCTGGTGGACTTCAAGAACATGGTTTTGTCACTAGACTGAAAATCCTGGCTACTGCTAAACATGCATTTCTCTCTTAACTTAATATTCCACTAGAAGTCACCAATTCTGTTCAAGGTCTACGCTTGATGAACCTCGTTGTAAAGCTATATATTAAAAGAAACTTGAGTCATAAATACAGTCTTTGTATAAGTGTTCTATTAATTCTATAGCTGCCAGATCGAAAATTGAAAGGAAATCGTTAAATGCTTAAGATGCATACAAGTATTGAGCACGATGAAACTAACACTGAACATTTATCGAAATTGAAACAGCGTTACCTTGTTGCTTTGGTATAAAAATTTTGTAATAAGAAGCACTTTATAATTATATATTTCCCATAAGTCTTAAATTTTTATAGCTTTAATAAAAAACCTTTCATATCATTACAATGTTAGAAAAAGCCAATAAGTAGCTCTTTTATGGGCCAACAACTGTTTTATAGAATGAGGAATATGTAGTATTTTTTAACACCGTTGTATCTTTTTTCTCTTTTGCAGATCAGTATTAAAAAAGAACTGCATTAATATTTTTTTCATTTCCCCTCCCCCCTCGCCAGAAGACGACGTTTCTTTCCTTATCTCAGGATTACAAAAGTGCACTATTTCTCCTAAGTAGAAACTTGCATTTTTTGCTCATAGAAAAGTATTTTGCCCCAATTTGCGTGTTTGCCATCAATACATATGTCTTCAGAGGCAATTTTTGTGCAGACAATTCCAAATTACTTTTCTAGTCAGGAGATGATACTATTTTTTCCTGGGAGGTTATGCTATGCTCTTCTTCTGAAATTAGGAAAAAATGTCATTGTAGGTCTTGTATACGCAAGTAATTGAAAGAACGAGTGTGTCAGCGTATGTAAAAGATGTGAGTACGATTTTAGAGATCTTATCAAAAAAGATAGTTATTTAAAAATAATCAGACTATTTATTAAAAATGGTTATTTTCACACTGGAAAGTCTGGCAGCACGTTGCGTAGGTTCATGGCTATCTTCAATACTTTCCCTACTGACGTAATATACTCTGCATAATTGTTTATCTTTAAATATAAATTATCTTATTGGGAACCACACCAAATTATCGTAAGCATACTCATTTTAACAATAATTTTACTATGATTCTTCTACACAGTATTGTTAAAAAAAATGTTTTTATCCATTTATTGTCTGCCATAAAATGTCATTAAAGCACAACTTCATGTTTGAGTAACTAATCATCCTCTGTCTACGGGTTTTTAAAAAAAGTCAAAGACAGTCATTCTCAGAGATCTTTAAGCATATCTTGTACTTTTAGGTTTAACTTCGATTGATCACTACGCATAAACGTTATAATAATATATCTACAAGAGGACCTTAACCCTCCATCGTGCTTTGCGTACCAATCCCTAAGTACCTATCAAAGAGTAAATATAACTGTCAACTATTTGATAATGAGTGCATGTATTTAATGACACTGTATTTAAATGAAAATATATTTATTTAATTATGCAACTCTCATATCTTCATAAAAAATAACGAAGTGTAAAATGAACTTTTTTTTGACATTGAATAATTTACGAATGAAACTAAATTTTGGTAGTATATCATTTTTAATAATTAGTAAATTTTTTCTTACAACAAATTCAACATTTTTTAAGTACAGATATAAGACAAATAAAAAGAATTTCTTTTTGTTGAAGAATAAAAACAGTTATATGAGATCAATGTGAGATTAAGTACAAAAACCAACATCATTCATCGCATAGAGAACACATAACGATGTGACTTACAAAACCTTAAAAAACATGATATCATTGTAAGTTTCAATAAAATGATTACCGGGTAGGAAGCTTTTTTGCAAAAAGGCCATTGCTATTAAAATTCTTTTTTTTGGTTGGAAAAATTTCTGTCCGTTTTTAGTTAATGAAAGTATAAAAATTTCTTAACTTATTAACTGTATGATTGTTTAAAATAAATGCCTCATAGCAAGACAAAAATTCAATAAAAATGACTGTCTATGTAAAAAGTATTTTTATTTTGTTTATTAAATGGACCAGTAACTGAAAAATATTAAAAAAATGAAATGTCAATAAAACAACAGAACTTAAATCATTAAAGGTTCAGGACAATCAGGTAAAGAAATGTTTGGAAAAACCTAAAACTGTTATTTTCTGGCAACCTATATTATATACTTACAGTGGTACACCTGCTTTTGCGGCTGCGTGACATATAATTTACGTCTTTTGAAACAAGCTAAGTATTGTCGCAAAACTCAAACTACGCTTGCAACTTCAAACAATCTTATAAGGTGCTTATCTTGTAGCATCAATTTGCACTAGTTCATCAAAAAATGTGAATAATCAACAATTTCAACACTCTTTATTGCGTATCTCAATAAGAAAAATCATACATAATTTCGACAGCAACTTGTACTTAATGTGAAATCCGAAAGATCAGCAGTTTTAATCACCAGTTACTATGAATTTACTGCACGATGAGATTGTGCTCGTGTCAATTCAGAGTTATTCGGTTAAGCGCAAGTTAGTCGTTCAGATTCCCAAACTGACATGTCCTCCTGAAAGACAAAAATTTAAGAACTTCTTGCACTAAATAATATTTACCTTTTCTAAGCTTCGCCCTAGTGAATAAGCTACGTGTTAGAAGCATGCATTTCAAGCAAATGTAAGGTTTAGTTTGGTGACTTAGCTACGTGAGAAAAGCTCGAGCAAAGCAGGCCACTGCAAACTCACCTAAAAAGTAAATCAAGAAAAAACAAGAGAAAAAGGACCGTCAAATTAGGTTCTGACGTTAAAAGAAGCAGCCTTGTTATTGTCATCGCCACGAGTACTCTCGCGTAGGATTAGAATCGTTGTTGCAGTCAACTTTGTAAGATCTTGCGACTGCGTGCGAGCAAGCAGTGGCTAGCTAACAATCATAGAAGTCAATTGAATAAAGAAATATTAATAATTAGTAAACATTGTAAATGCGACTCTGTAACTTTATAGTTCATATTATTTGTCAAATCATTATTTCTGGCTTTTTTATTAAATCATCAGAGAAGACATAAGCTGATTAATGATTAAATTCACTTTTTTAATTCAAAAATTTTCTAACTACTTAACTATATAAA